AATTAAAATACTTTTTGTATTTTTATTTTACTTTTTTTTTTTATTAACTATCTGAAAATAAAGAAATACTAATCTAGTAATAGTTTTATACAGTAAAATAAAAATAAATTAATAATAATAATAACAACAGCATAATTATAATACTAATATTTATTTGTGTTAATTTTATTGCTTTCAATTGTTAAACAATAGGACTTTTATTCTGGTGAAAAACTGCAGGGAGACCTTACAGCTTTAGACTGATTTATAAAACAGATTTATAAACAATTCAGTATTACAAATTTGGGAACATGGTTGGCGCATGTTGTATTTCTAAACGCATGTTAATGCATTGCATACCAAGAACTGATTTTGACAACTCAAAGTATAGCTCTTATTTAATTTCCTGTGACTCCTTGCAGAATATGACAGACCAAAACTCAAGAATCAGTGTGATGAAATCTGTGTCTGTTGTGAAGGTTATTTCTCATTTGTTGACAACAGATTTATAAACAATTCAGTATTACAAATTTGGGAACATGGTTGGCGCATGTTGTATTTCTAAACGCATGTTAATGCATTGCATACCAAGAACTGATTTTGACAACTCAAAGTATAGCTCTTATTTAATTTCCTGTGACTCCTTGCAGAATATGACAGACCAAAACTCAAGAATCAGTGTGATGAAATCTGTGTCTGTTGTGAAGGTTATTTCACCTTTAGATGGATTTCCCAACATACTGATCCAGCAGCTGCCAACAGACAGTCCTCTCTCACACACCACCGAGACCTACAACCAGCACACAACACACACACAAATACATGCAAGCACAAGAGAGACCACATCAGAAAGTGACCGAAGAATGACAAATGATCATCTGTTTAGCTGAACGTCACTGCGTGATAATCTGAATGCTCTGAACTAATGAATGGCTGAACAAAGGAAGTTGTTTACCTTTTGAGCATCACAAAGCAGGAAGCAGAAAGTCTCAGACAGCTCTTTCTCGGTGCGCCCATCCTGCTTGAGCTCCCTTCGCTTTTCCATGAACTGCACATTCAAAACATCACAAGATTATTTTTGTACTTGACACACAAAGATCGATCTCAAATATCCAAAGCTGAAAGTCCCATTGTTCAAAATCTGTCTCATAACCACAGACATGTAACTCCACACACCCTCACACACACAATACAGGCACACAACATTAAAGCCACGCTTGAATCTCAGTTGACCACATAAAAAAATAATTATTCAGGAGGATTTAAGGACGAGATTACAAGGATTTGAGCAGACAACAGTCTGACAGGACACACTGAGATGATGAAGTGAATAGAATTAGTTACTGTTGTCTTACTTTTACAGTGCAATGTGTTATGGTCTCTATGCACTTGGCCAGCAGATGTTTTATTTATCTAAATACATATTTATATTTAACTTCACATTTACATTTAGTAATTTAGCAGACGCTTTTATCCAAAGCGACTTACAAATGAGGACAATAAAAGCAGTCAAAACTAACAAAAGATCAACAATATATAAGTGCAAATGACAAGTCTCGGTTAGCCTAACGCAGTACACGTAGCAAGGTGTATAATATATATTATACACACACACAAACAAAGAAAAACAAGTAGATAAAATAGAAAAAACAGAAAGCTAGTGTTTGTTTTTTGTTTTTTTAAATATAGATAAAGTAGAATTAAAATAGAATAGAAAGTGTTAGAGTTAGAGGGTCAAATAAAGGTAGAACAGATGTGTTTTTAGTCGTTTCTTGAAGATGGTTAAGGACTCGGATTGATTTGGGCAGGTCATTCCACCAGGAGGGAACAGTTAATGAAAAAGTCTGTGAAAGTGATTTTGTGCCTCTTTTAGATGGCACAATAATATGCCGTTCACTTGCAGAACGCAAGCTTCTAGAGGGCACATAACTCTGAAGTAATGAATTTAGGTAAATGGGTGCAGAGCCAGTGGTGGTTTTGTAGGCAAACATTAATGCCTTGAATTTAATGCGAGCAGCTACTGGTAGCTAGTGCAAATTGATGAACAGAGGTGGGACGTGTTCTTTTCAGCTCATTAAAGATTAATCTTGCAGCTGCATTTTGAAAAGCAGCAGACAGATCCAGTGTAGTGTCTGGACCAATCAGGCACACCATTTTTCATTTGATTTAACAAATCAATTATTCATTAGATTAACAAACATTCACAGACCCTTCACCCAATAAACATACTGGGTGCCAAGATGTCTGTGAACGAAGCCCAGGACCCTAGTCCCTATGGCAACCACGACACCTTTGCTAGACCAGATACATTTACGACCTAAAGGCATGTTGAGAATTACCCCTCTCACTACAATTTCCATAGGAAAGACACAGTGCACAGTAGAAATGGACTCTTTAATTAATCCATAGGAAAAACTTTCTTTGAACGAACACACATATCCTTCAGGTCATTGTGTACGTTGTCTTTGAGATTTTATACTGTTTTATGCCGGCTTATGATGGAACCACTCGTTCCTGTCATCTTACCTATATGTAATCCTACCATGTTTAGTATCTATGAATTTGCCTTCTGATGATCTAAACGAGCATGTATATTATATGTTGGTACATAGGCAATATATTAGTGTCCTGAGAATCTTTAGTAATTTCGATTCAAGTTCCATATGCAAATTACCATGCTTCCACACAAAGGGTCATAAACGCCCCAGTATTTCCAAACTCCCACTTGGGATTCCGGCATTTCTCATTGGACAAGCCCATCTTGAGAGGCGTGAATCTTCTCAGACCTTAAAGGCCTCACATCAGTGACCCGCCCCAGAGTTGGTGGTTTGGTTGAATTCTGAGAAGATGAAGATGTGAGAAAACGCTCCAGGACACCCTAAGTTTGTGCCAGGCTTCAGCCTTGACTTTTCCATTCACCAAGATTCTCTGACTCAAACTGGTTCTTTTTCATCAACCAACTTCAGCAAAGATCAACTTGAACCTTCAGAGTGCATCAAACCTCTATTTCAGACAGACGAGACGTGCAAGTATTCAAACTTAGTCTTATTAATTGATACATTAGGTATCATTTGCACCTTTTTACAAAGGTGTGTTTGAACTAAGAATCTGATGTTCCCTTCAAGCTGTAAATCTGCTGAATATGCAAATGGTTCCATAACTTCATTCCTTTTTCTCTCCTCCTTACTGCTTAAGCTTTAACCCTTTCCTATACCAACTGTATGCGTGTGTGTTTATGTAGTATGTTAGACTAGTTTAAGTGTTTATGTAGTTAATAAAGTCTTACTTGTATCACACTTGACGTTGTTCATTGTTTGCTCATAACTGGAGTCCCTAATCATGCAGATTTATGCTACAAGCTTTTGTAGAATTGTACAGTAAGAAAGTTATTTCCCTTAACCAGGAAATTAACGTTCTTAGAATTGACAGACAGTTGACCCTGAGAGGTCAAGTAAATATCTACAGCGGATCTAAATATTTATAATTAATTATAACTAGTTATGATTAATTATTCATATTTCCCCAGGAGCTGATTCGCTACACAGCAAAATAAGTATAGAAGATTTGAAAGCCGCTCTTGCCAGTCTTAAGGCTTCAACAACTGAAAGCAAGGCAGTCTCAGTCGAATGTCCACTTCTGAAGCCAGACTGGTTGCTGTCCAGGAGGTTGATCTGTGTGAGAAAGGCAGAGACTTGGTTGAACACAACTCGTTCAAGTGTTTTTGCAATGAAAGGTAGAAGGAAAACCGGTCTGTAGTTCTCTAAAAGAGTTGGGTTAAGAATGGGTTTCTTAAGAAGTGGGGTTATACGAGCCTGTTTAAATGTTGAGGGAAAAACACCAGTGTGAAGGGATGTGTTAACGACGTGAGTGCAGGTACAACGGCAGGAGAAATGGCTTGAAGGAGATGAGATGGAATAGGATCAAGCGGACAAGCAGTAGGATGATTGGAAAGGATGAGTTTAGAGACTTCTGCCTCAGAGAGTGGAGAGAAGGATGAAAACGAGTGTATGCTTGCTGGTAAGATGTGTTTGACAGTTTGTGGTGTGGCAAATTGTGCACTGAGTTTTGTTATTTTATTAATGAAGAATGTGGCAAAGTCGTCAGCTGTTAGAGATGATGAAGGAGGGGGAGGAGGAGGACAAAGGAGGGAGGAAAATGTTTTAAAGAGCATGCGAGAGTTAGGCGAATTGTTAATTTTGTTATGATAGTATGTCCTTTTAGCAGTGGAGGCATTTACTATTTACATTATTAAAATTTGTAATTGAACAAATTTAAAGTTAATTGGCATTTAACTTTACATACAGTACATAATCCACGTTTATGCAAGTACTCAAGAGCTCCCAGAAACTATTGTGTGTGTGTGTGTGCGCATTTGTCCAATGAAACACACTGTGGTTCTGACCAAGGTGTGCTTCACACTTTTGGTTTCAATCTGTGTTTTTTAAAGGATTATTTCACCCAAATATGGAAATCCTGTCATAATTTGCTCAACCTTATGTTGCTCCAGACTTTCTTGATTTCCACCACACAACACAAAAGGAGAATGTACTTGCACTTGTTGAAAGAATATAGCGCACATATGGACTAGTTTTGAAGCGTGAATGCTCCAGTCTGCTTTCACTGCAACTGCTTGAAACAGTGCCCAGCTACATTCTTCAATACATTTCCTTTCGTCATCCATGGAAGAAAGTTCATTGTGTTGTATATTTTTACCATCTTTACATTAGTTAGTGCAGTCTGATTTTTGACGTCAGGGATGCAAACTCACCATGGGTGAAAAAGGTGACAAAGACACGCACCCCCACCCAAAATTAAACACTTACAATATTTAAAACAGTTATTATTCTAACTCTACAGTTGTGCAAAAAAATTCTAAAAATAATAATGCATTAAATATTTTGAGAAATTGTAATATTGCCTTAAAAAGGACACATCAAAAAGAGTGTTTTAAATGTTATCTATAACTGTAGAAGCTGCTAAATATATTCAGCCAACACAGACTTGTTGCTGCTGTAGTTGTGTTTCTCTGAATTTACTCTGCATCTCTTAAAGCACAGCTCACTGTCAATCAAAGCAATGACTCGCAGAACAATTGAGCGGATTCACTCACGTAATTTTTTACACTCGCTTTGTCATTCCTGAAACAGTATATGTTTGGTGCTCTAAGACAAACAAAAATCTTCTTCAAATTCTAAATGGATTCTGCAGAGAAACCGAGCAGAGCACTCCCCTGATAGCACAACTGCCCGAGCTCACTAACTAGCTACACAATCAATCTCTTATTTACACCATGTGTATGCTTCATTTCTCGTTCTAGTAGGAAGATCTGCGAGCGTGTAGAACTACGTGAGCTAAAATAAAAATTGAGTGTCATTTCTTTTCTCTTGATAAGATTGCATGTACTGACCTTGGGCTCTGAACAGAAAGCAGCCACTGAAAGCCTATAACGTTTAGTGTCTACTATAAGATGTTATACTCAGTGGTTTGCAAACAACAATAAAGCAGTAGAAGAGTCAAACACTCACGTCTTTCTCCAGTGGTTCGCTGTGGACGAGGCGAGGTTTGGAGTACACAAACGTCCCGGTGGAGGAAGAGTCCTTGTAGCTGGAGGAGAGAATCTGCAGAACGTCGGAAAACTCTCTAGAGTCCGTAGACACAGACTGAAACAGAGCTGTGAACCGAGAACAAACCATCAGAACACAGTTACCACCTCTCGCACGGTTCATCCGCTCCCTAGTTTATGTATGGAAAATAGTTTATAAATGGATAATAATATCAGAGGGGAATGACACTCTTTTGATTTTTCTAAGCTGAATCACAGCAGCAGTTTTTGTGTCGTGCCCTTTTTATTATACAGATGTTTACGGAAACATCAAAATCAGGATGATCAGATCTCCAGGGCACATTCAGCACACTCTTGTTCCATGGACTTAAAACTGAAACCCAGATGTAACGATCAAGATCAATCCAAGTTCCACGTTTAGGGTCAATTGTAATTGGAAGAGTTTGAGTTGCTTTGATTACTTTGATAAAAAAAAAAAAAAAATCTAGTTTTTATTTTCGGAGTTTTATTAAAAAACAATAACATTATTCCACATTCTGTCCAATGTTGTCTTGTAAATTATGTGCAAATGAAAGGCTATGGAAGAAAATATGTGACCCTGGAGCACAAAAAAAGTCATAAGGGTCAATTTTTTAAAATTGAGATGTATACATCATCTGAAACTGAATAAATAATCTTTCCATTGAAGTATGGTTTGTTAGGATAGGCCAATATTTGGATTATATTGATATTTGGAGATACAACTATTTGAAAATCTGGAATCTAAGTGTGCAAATACTGAGAAAATCACATTTAAAGTTGTCCAAATTAAGTTCTTAGCAATGCATATTACGAACCAAAAATTAACTTTTAATATATTAACAGCAGGAAATTTACAAAATATCTAGATGGAACATGATCTTTACTTAATATCCTAATGATTTTTGGCATAAAAAGAAAAATGGATAATTTTGACACATACAATGTATTGTTGGCTATTGCTACAAATATACCCCAGCGACTTAAGACTGCTTTTGTGCTCCAGAGCCACATATATCAAATGCATATGTGCAAAAACAGGTTTAACATATAACTATTAAATTCTACAACAAAAACAACTGACAATTAACAATTTTAAAGCAGAAGTTAAAACACCAAATTCAAAAAAAGATAAAGAAAAACAAAAGCAGTTAAATAAAGGCTGTATTATAAACTCTGTACCTTTTGCAATAAATAAATAACCTTTTCTGAACCATTCCCCTAATCCCTGCTTCTGACATTTATGACTGAATGAGCTGCACACCATCTTCATGCAGTTGCTTATTATTAGTGGCCTGTGTTAACGAAACTGCTTCAGTGAGAAATCATTCGTATCTATGATTTGTTTCTCATCTGGGTGTTTTGGAGCTTGCGATGGATGTATGCGTCTTGTTTTTTCAGGCACGGCTGCTATGTGAACCACAACCACAGTGTTAATATATCAGTGATCAGAATCTTCCACTAATTTCCTGATCGGTGCTGCAATCATCTGTGAAGTATATGATAATGTGTGTCTGCGGAGTGAAACGTTTGGATCAGACGCAAGCCAGCCAGCAGCTTGTCACTGGCTCCTGTCATGACCACGAGCACCCATCACACTACCGGACTCATTTTAAACAGAACGCAAGTTTATTTGTAGCATGTAATAAATCTTGTTAATTTAGATGATTTATTTGTTTCCCCCTTTTTATGTATTTGGTGTATTTTAAAAATATGTATGTGTGTGTTAAGTGTTGTATATGTGAAGCACCAAGAAAGTCTGAATTAATTGCCCCAAGGGGGTTAATAAAGCTCTAAACTAAAAAAAAAAAAAAAAGCATTAATTGAGTGCATTCAGCGGAGCTGCTGCTGAGAGACGCAGACCAACTCCCTCCAGATCCCCAGTGATCCCCATGTTAATGAGGCTAACATCTGCCAACAAAACTAGGGATGCACCGATATGAAAATTTTGGCCGATACCGATAACCGATTATTCTTTATTTTTGAAAGCCGATAACCGATATGTTGGCCGATAAATCTATGCTGAAACCGGCTAGTAAAAGCCACAGACTTAAGACTATACCTTTACAAACTGTCAGGCTGTTCAAGTCACCATGAAATCAATCTGGACCGTTACTCTTTTTCTAGAATGTTGGATTGTTTACAATAAATGATTTATCTGCACACATCGTAATATAAAAAAAAAGAAAAGAGTCTTTAAAAAATGATTGCAATCATTAAGTAAAAGCTCCTCAGGTAAATATGGTAAACATTTAACAAATATATATACATATATATATAAAAACCATACTTCCCCAGATGAATAATTTGCATGCATTTTCATGCCAGAAATCTAAATATTTCCAGGTTCAATATTCTGAGAGCAAACCCTTTAAATATCGTAACTGAAATATATGCACATTGATGAAGTGCAATAAAATAAACAAGTGTATTTTGGATGTTGTATTTTCACTAGTCAACACAAAAACACACAAAAGCCAGATATCTTAACATCTCAAAATTTAACAGTGGATAAAAAAATAAAATAAAAAATAAAAATAATTTGCCTGTAGTGTTTTATATGAAAAAAAAAAAACTGGCACAAGGAAAAAAAAAAAACCTTGGTCTATTTTGGTTTCACATCGTCTTTAAGGATAATCAGCGTACCATTGCACATGTAAGCGTAGTAGCGTGTAGTTAAAGATATATGTTCGGGAAATGTAAAAAAAAAAAAAAATTTTTAGTATTAAATTAATTTAGTATATAAACTTATATATATATATATATATATATATATAAACAAAACGGCTTACAGTATGACATTCAGTCTAAAAATTATATAAAATAACTATATATAATATGTTTCAGATTAATTATTTTGTTTACTCAGGAGTACTTCAATGTCAATAGAACTGTTAATTAGAAGTGGCACTAATTAAATTACTTACAATACTGATTCAAACACTGGATGGATCTTCGATTGTTTGAATAAAACATTGTTTAAAAAAGAATCTTGAAATGCATGAATGGAAGTTTTGAAAGCTTGGACAGAATATTCAACCGTTTGAATGGAACCTTTCAAATCTTTACTCTGAATTCTTTGTAGAATCTACACAGGATATTTGAATTGAGGCTTTGAATGTCTGAATACAAAATTTAATGAAATCTTCAATTCTATAAACTTCTAAATAAACTAATAAAAAAAACAGCTGGCTCTTTGAATAAAATTGATTTCATTTATATTTTTAATAACAATTTATATTTTATTCAAAATGAATAATTCTTTGTTTATTTGTTAAATAATAAAATCTCAGGTCTCTGAATGAAGTGTAGTGTTCCCCACTGTACCCCAGGTGACATTCGGGTGTGGCAGATCAACCTGTTACCCGAGGGAGGGTACACACACACACACACACACACACACACACACACACACACGAGTATCTCTTATGTTCTGGGCTGCTGCACCGGATCTCCATTTATACTGTCATGAATACCTGAGCTGCCATCTCGACAGCATTACTGGGAATCACAGGCGCGAGCAACACGTCCCTGTGATGCACAGAACTGTTGTCTAGGTTTAGGTCGCTAGAATTTGGGACACAGACTTCAGTCCGAGTAACGGAAAGAAAGACAAAGAAAGCGGGCAGCGCACCTCTCTTTTCTCTGCTCTTTCGGGGGATGTGGAAGTTGAGTCGCGGCTGCTCTTGGGCTGGTTTCGCGGCCCACGAGACGCTCTTGACCCGTCTCTCTTCATCGGGACCGTCCGGACAATCCTCCTCTTCCTCCAAGGCGCCATTTTGGCTCCATGAAGGCGCAGCGGGATTGTCTTTCTCTTTGTCGCTGAATTTCCCTCCTCGACGCTCCATCGCTGCTTTATTCACGAGCTGCAGACATGAGCGGCCGCGGATCCTCCTCGCAGGCGGCGTGGGGTTTGAGTCTGCTGCTGCAAGCGCGTCGCACCACACATAAACACACACACATGTACATGCCCACAGTGTGTGACTGTGAACGGAGCGCAGCAGTGCCACCCAGCGGGCTCCATCATAACACAGTACTCCAGCGCCGCCTGCAGGTGTCAGTGCTCCACTGCACAGTGTCCCTGCAGGTCACCACGAACAAGCACAATATACACACAGTCTGATAAAGCATTAAGCCCCAAGAAGCCGTGGTTTACAGTGAATTTATTACAGCTAAGGGGCGTTGTTAGGTAGGACGCGAAGCGGAGTAACCCCCTTAGCTGTTATACATTCACTGTAAACCACGGCTTCACGGGGCTTATTGCTTTTATAAAACGGTTATTCTATTTACGTAGTAAATTTCACAGAATAAAACCAAGCAAATAAAGTGTAATGATATTAATAAAAATAGTATTCTTCCACCAAACAATGTAGTTCCTCAGAATCAGCTGTGGTTGTAACAAAGTTGTTGCCAAGCAACAAACAGAAGCAAACAAAGGTGTGTGTTTGTAGAGTAATTTACAACAGCTTCGAACTCAGCCAATCAGAATCAAGGACCGGAACTATCCGTTTAAGCAATGTGAGATATATTTATAACATAAATATTACATTAAAACGTTGTCTAAATTGTATGTAAACTGAATTATGAATATGTCCATAAGACAAAATGCAAGACAAAAAAAAAAGCAAGGCAGATGGTATTAGTGAACTGCTATATTGTCTTTAATCTGTCATGAGTTATTGTTCTCCAGACTGGTCTAGGTGTGAGTCATCATGTGCAGAGGGGCCTCACCCAGGGGCCCTGCTGCTGTCAGGGGGACGCACCTGAGATAAGTGTGTTCTTCAGGGGATATCACACAACAAGGAGCTCCAGCCATATGTCAGACCTGTTAATGTATCATAGTAATAATCTACTGAAGTAGATCGATCTCAAGAGGTTCTGCTCTCACTAATCTGGACAGACATTAACATTTACTTTTTAAAAATACTTTTATTCCGCAAGGATGCATTCAAGTGATCAAAAGCAACATTGATAATAATCAGAAATGTTTCTCGAGCAGCAAATCAGCATATTAGAATGATTTCTGAAGATCATGTGACATTGAAGACTGGAGTAATGATGCTGAAAATACAGCTGCGCATCACAGGACTAAATTACATTATACTATATATTCAAATAGAAAATTGTAATAATATTTCACAATATAGAATACAGTTTTTACTGTAATTTTTATTGCAGCCTTGGTGAGCAGAAGAGAAAAAACAACATGAAAATAATATTGCAGACTTCAAACCTTATAGTGTATGCAGTCAAATGTGTAACAAGGGTGGTAGTAGAGAAATGTTACAGTAATTAGCCTAGTCTGAAAGGTAGTATACTGCAGGTCATATTCAGCAGGAGCTAAAGAAGAAGAGATGAGTGTTTTTAACATCCGTTCCCTGTGGCCCTCGTTATGAAGGTGTGATGCACTGCAGCAGAGGAGCAGTCCCTGAACATTGTTTCCACTGTGTAAAGATGGCAAACACTCAAAGCTGAACTTAAACTTCACACCTCTGCATCAAAACACTTCCTAAACCCAAAGCAAAGCGATCCAGAGCTGCTCGCATAACTACAATGCTATCACTTATAATGGTAATTAAATACAGTAATCTGAACATTGTGTGAAAGAAATAAATATTTAAGGGTTTTAAAATGTTTATTTGATTTTCTTAATTTTGCTTCACACTGTTCATCAGTCAGTCTCTCCCATGTGTTAAAAATGCATTCCCGCCCTAATTTACCTCCATTTCTTTTGATTACTACATCAACTCTCTCTTAAATCCAAACCAACCATTTCCTTTTAATCCAACAGCAACCAAACAGAAAAACAAAAGTCAATCAGGTGAAAAACAAACTATAAATAAACATCTTATATCATACATTTCAACACAATACTTGTGAGAGAAAACAAAACAAGAAAAAGAATAAAAGACTTTTGAATAGTTTTTATATACAGAACGCTGCACATCTGACAATACAAAATACGGGCTAACGAGTAAACCTGAAGACACTTAAAGCACCAGACTTGCTTTGGCAAAGGCTGCTCTCTCTACAGCATAAGTTGTCAGTTTTGGCGCACACAGAAACACTGACAGAGATTGGCACAAGAGACTTTCCGTTTAGTTTGCGTTCACGCTACAGTGTTTTCCAGGAAACTGCTACAGAAGAATTGATGAACAAAACTGATATTTCCAGCACAATGTCAGTCACACAGCTCCGTGGGATCAGGAAATAACTCAAGCTGTCAGTCCTCAATACGGGATTATAGATTTAATATTCATCACTGGATCTGACATTGATGTAGAAATGCTTTAATCTGGCAGTGCTGCGACACACTATGAGATGAACATGTGTAATATATGTTCCTCATTCAGAAATACTATGATCGCCCTTTACTCGTGACTATAGTGAAAACATTCGACTGGTCATTTTTTATTAGTGATTACTGAATGAACATTAAACACCTGAACAATATTACACCAATGTGACTCTTTTCTTGCACAGACAGTGTGATTAAAGTGGCCCCAGTCTTACAGCATGTGGAAAGGCAGACAGATGCTCCACAAAGTCCGTTTCTGAAAGACTGGACAGTACAGTGAAAGAAAGGCACGAGAATAACACGCAAGTTAAGAGCCACCGACAGCCGTGTCAGACTCAGAGAAGTGCTTCCTGTAAACGGTGGCACACTACTGAAGAGGCTCGCTGGTGCAGCAGCACACGGTCACAGGGCTGAGCATCTGTGGGCACTCAGAGCTAGCGTCAGTGCTGTGCATCATGCTGCGGTCTCGCTCCGTCCTGACAGGCTGTCTGCGCCGCTCCAGACTCTGCTGACCACACAGCTTCTTTGGCCTGTCGAATGCAGTTGAGCCACTGCTGTTTATTGAAGGCGTCACTGGCCTGGAAGCAGTGCGTCTGCAGCTGTCCTCCGCTGCGAAACACCACCCGGAAAAAGTTCTTGGCTGAACGCAGACCGTTTCTGAAAGACTGGACAGTACAGTGAAAGAAAGGCACGAGAATAACACGCAAGTTAAGAGCCACCGACAGCCGTGTCAGACTCAGAGAAGTGCTTCCTGTAAACGGTGGCACACTACTGAAGAGGCTCGCTGGTGCAGCAGCACACGGTCACAGGGCTGAGCATTTGTGGGCACTCAGAGCTAGCGTCAGTGCTGTGCATCATGCTGCGGTCTCGCTCCGTCCTGACAGGCTGTCTGCGCCGCTCCAGACTCTGCTGACCACACAGCTTCTTTGGCCTGTCGAATGCAGTTGAGCCACTGCTGTTTATTGAAGGCGTCACTGGCCTGGAAGCAGTGCGTCTGCAGCTGTCCTCCGCTGCGAAACACCACCCGGAAAAAGTTCTTGGCTGAACGCAGACAAACAGAGATGGACATGTTTAGAGCAGCTGTAGTTCTGAAGCATTCACAGCATGTAGATTAAGACAGGGATTCTTGATGCCACGATACAGATACAGCACTGGTCAAACGTTTGGGATAATTAAGATTGCTTTAAATGTTTTTGAAAGAAGTCTCATGCTCACCAAAGCTGCAATTATTTGATCAAAAATACAGTAAACACAGTAATATTGTTAAATATGAATATGATTTAAAAGAAAAGTTTTCTGTGTGAATATCTGTTAAACTGTAATGCATTTCTGTGATGCGCAGCTGTATTTTCAGCATCATTACTCCAGTCTTCAGTGTCACATGAACTTCAGAAATCATTCTAATATGCAGATGTGCTGCTCAAGAAACATTTCTGATTATTATTATCAATGTTGAAAACAGTTGTGCTGCACAATATTTTTGTGGAAACTGTGATACCCCAAACATATGAATGGCAGTGCAAGTAAGATAAAATAATAATAATAATAATAATAATAATAATTAAATCATTTAGTTAGGACACATTAAATTGACAGTAAAGATATTTATAATGTTACAAAAGATTTCCATTTCAAATTAATGCTGTTCTTTTGAACGTTTTATTATTCAAAGAATCAGAGTTTCAAAGTAGCAAAGACGGTTTCCAACGCTGATAAGAACCATTATTAATAATGAACTAAAATACCACCAATAATAATTTATGATAATTGATCAACAAATCAGTATATCATATGTGAGCAAATTCAGCGCATAAATAATTTACATTATTTCAAATATATCTAATTAGAAAACAGTTCTTTGAAACTGTAATAAAATTTCACAATATACAAATTTCATAACATGCATATTGTCTTTTTAGAGCTGAATTCTGTTTGCGTCAATTAATCACTATTTTCTTGTTTAACACTGTAAAGCTGCTTTGAAACAATCTGTATTGTATAAAGTGCTACAGAAATAAAGGTGATTTCACTGTATTTCTGATCAAATAATTGATAAATGCCAAACGTATGACCTGCATTGTTTGACTATCCCCTTGTGAAGGACCCTCTTCTATGGAGGACCAAATCTGCAGAAATAATAAATAAATAAATAACAGGAAAATAAAGAAATAAATGACTTGATAAAAACAAATATAGTTAATTTATAATAAAATTTAATCCTGAATTAATTTTTATGACCTTTTTCCTATATGTATTATTTTCTGTATTTATTTTTACATTTATTTTTATTCTTTTTCAGTTTTATTTACGTATCTTATCGTTTATTTTTACATTTATTTATGTATTTATTCATGCGTTTATTTATTTTTTATATTTATTTATTCCCACATTTATTTATTTCCAGATTTATTTATTCATTTATTTATTTTTACTTTTCCGTGTGCAGCATGGAAATGAGGGAGGCGGTCCTTGCGGAGCATCGGTGAATCATTGGTTGAGAGAGCTCACACAGAAGCGTCAGATCAAACGAGATCGGAGTTTGTGGGATCAACTGCAGAGTTGCAAGATATTTTCACAGATTCACATTATTATGTAGAATTACACAGAGAAAACCGTGACTCCCAAAAGCATCCGGTGAATCATTGGTTGAGAGAGCTCACGCAGAAGCGTCAGATCAAACGAGATCAGAGTTTGTGGGATCAACTGCAGAGTTGCCAGATATTTTCACAGATTCACATTATTATGTCGAATTACACAGAGAAAACCGTGACTCCCAAAAGCATTGTGAGGCTAAATGCAATCGTAAACCAGTTGCACCAAAGGAACTAGTTAGACCTACGGTCTACTCAGGCTCACAATGCTTTTTGGAATCGCGGCCCACTGGCAGTTGACGTCTATATTCGCAAGTTTAGGGACCATCTCTAAAGTTAAATACGACATTGGTATACATGATTGTAACTTCAATAGCATTTGAAGAGAACGACTTACAGTCACAAAACCAACTGTAAAGTGTTTATCTACGAATCAGGTATATTTAGCAATATTTAGATATAATTTGACAGTTTATTTTAAAGGGGTCCTATTATGCTCTTTTACAAAGTCTTGATTTTGTTTTGGGGGTGTACTAGAACATGCTCTCATGCTTGGTGGTTCGAAAAACACATTATTTTTTCACATAATTTACATGATTAAAATAACTTTCTCCCCAGGCTGGCACAAACGGCTCGATTAGTTCTGGCTTTGATGAAGGTCCGCCTTCTGAAAAACAAAATGTGTTGTGATTGGTTAGCTGTCCCAGTGCGTTGTGATTGGTGAACAGCTTAGACGGTGTTTCATTACTGCCCCGCCCCCTTGCTCCGTCTTTTAACAAAAGCTTTTAGGTGAATCCGGCACTGTACTCCCTGGTGTTGTGGAAGCTGTCCTCAGTAAAATGCGCAGCACACAATAGCAAATTGGGGTTATAATGCTCAGGAACAGAGTTAAAAAATAAATTGCAACCACTGTTTCCTGACATCTGCTTTCGGAAGCCCAAACAAAGACGTTTGGGCACGGAGGTGAAGCGCAACGCAGCGTCACGCCACGTCTTTAAAATTCAAATACATAATTTTCTATGAGTGTAGGCACACCGGCGGCGTCTGTCCGCGGCGCCCAGCTACGTCGTGTTGTACTTGTAAGAATTGTTCTAGACATGCTGAAAATTTGAAGCTACAGCACTGCAGCTCTTCTTCTTCGTTTTCTCTGATGCACTAACTCTGCAGCAGCACTTCTTCTTCATCGCCTCGTCTGATGCATTCACTCAACCAAGCGTTCTAACCACAACCTCGCCCCTCCCCACCCCCCAACCATTCGAATCTCCGTAGGCGGGAATTATTTGTAATGATATTCCAATGAGCCGCTTTGTGATATCACAAAGCCCAGAAAACAAACGCTGTAGTCCAAACGAGCCGTTCGTTGTAGTTCTTGAAAAGGGATATTTTTAAAATGAAATATCTCCCTTTGGAGAGGACTTTGAGATTTGTAACTTTCTAGATCTTTTTTATGCCCAAACATACACACTACACACACTGACTAAAATTTAAAAAGTGAAAAAGCATAATAGGACCCCTTTAATAAATATCGTATGTTGTATGTAAGTTTAGAGACGGTCCCTACACGTGCGAATATTGAACGTCCAACGTCAAGCCAACTTTATGGCAGTGGGCCGCGATTCCAAACCTTTGATGCAACTGTTTTACGATCAACTTAATGCTTCTGGGAGTCTTTTCTCTGTAATTACAAAATGAACACAAGCCTTAGAAACCTCTACCAAGTGTGTCTAGAGGCGTCATCAAACTAAACTTAATGACGAAACTGTCAGGATAAGTAGGTGAATTCAGTCGCTGTAAAATAATTCGACATAACGTGAATCTGTGAAAATATCTTGCAACTCTACAGTTGATCACACAAACTCCGATCTCTATCGTTAGTTTGATCTGACCTTCTGCGTGAGCTCTCAACCAATGATTCACCGGAGCTCCGCAAGGACCGCCTCCCTCATTTGCACACGGAAAAGTACGAAGAAATAAATGAATAAATAAATCTGGAAATAAATACACGTGGGAATAAAAAATAATAAATACATACATAAATAAATTTTATTAAAATAAATGCAAAAATAAATACATAAAATAATATAATATAATACATAAAGGAAAAATAAATAAAAAAAATTAATTCAGGGTTAAATTTGATTACAAATTAACTGTATTTGTTTTTATCAAGTCATTTATTCCTTTATTTATTTATCTATATATTTATTAGTTTTTAATTTCTGCAGGTTTGATCCTCCATACTCTTCCTTTAAATATTATATATATATATATACACACACACACACACACACATACACACACATACACACACACACACACACACACACACACACACACACACACACACACACACACACACACACACACACACACACACACACACTGTGAAAAAGTAAAAGTGAATTTTCTCTGAACTTCTCTGTAGATCTTCCGGACCTGATTTCCCTTCCGTTTTAAATATCTGGGTCATTTTTGTGACTCTTGGTGAAATTGTTGGCCCAAGCTCTGCTGGGTTTGTGACTCACTGCGCTCGCTGTGGCTGAAGGCTCCTCTGATGGATCCTCCGAGGCGCACCTCTCCGTCCTGCAGGTCTTCCCACTCCAGATCTCTGACGGGGATGGGCTGCCGGTGGAGCTGATAGCACAGCTGCTCATTCTGGGTGACGGCCCGGGTGACCACCAGCACGTCCTGAAACAGGAACACATGCAGCTTCTGCAGAAACAGACAGACAGACAGACAGAGAACCTCAATCATGCTTGATGCAGCTCTATTCATTAACCTGTCACTGAAGTCTGGGTAGGGGAAGTGACCCCATAAACCCATTTTATTTTGAAATGAAAAAAGTCAAGAAAGCATGAGAGAAAATATTGGTCTCACTCCAAATGTAAATACTTGATCCTATTATTTTACATTTATTCTGTTTATTTCTTGAGTTATTTAGGATCAAGTGTTGCTACTGTCCCACAGTCAGATCAAAACTTTGCTTTTAGAGAAGCCCTACGAAGATTCTTCTAGAATCTGGTGATCAAACTGGCAACACTTAAGACTTTTTAAAAAAATGAAAAGATTAATAATTCTATTGTTTTCTTGCTATTAAAACCATCCAGATCAAAAGTTTAGACTGATATTTTGGTTATTTTTGGATGCTGAAAAATTGTAATCCAGTTCTTTCATTTAGTTCTGCCGATCAAAAATGAATTAAAACAAGTTTTTTTTTTCATGAAATATGAAGTATTTACATAAAAGAATGACGTAAATTATAGAAATGTACCACTCATTTAGGTTTGCCATCAAATAAAGCAATTTAATTTTGTCAGTCGATGACAAAACTTCAATCTTCCTCTTGGATTAATCTTTGAGTTCATACCCACTTCACTGGAAGGACTCTTCAGATATCCCTGAGAAAATGTGTAAAACTCTGGCAGGACTTAATAGGGTCACCCCAATGTATTACTTATGCAATTTCTGTGAGTGAAGTTTGCATTCAGAATCAAATTTTCTTCTGTGATGAATGAACACCAACATTTACTTTTTTTTTTTTTTGCAATTTAATCCAACTATGAAAAATTTGACTGAAAATGCAAAACAACCACTTTTATTTTAGAGATGATAAATGAACACTAATCACTGAATTAATTATGCATCATAAAATGAGGACATAAATTGACATCATGGGTGTTAAAATTTTTGAGATTTCTTTGTTAATTCTCACTTGCTGGATCTGCAATAAACGTCTTCACCAAGATTGCCTGGCCCTGTGTTTTTGACTGACAGTTTATATCCTCTCTCTCTCTCTCTCTCTATATATATATATATATAAGAATCACTCACTTGAAGCAACAACCAAGCACAGGTCATTTCACAGTTAATTTAGGAATATATTAGATCCATAAGTATTCGGTACAGATTATTTCACATACTCAGATTTACAGTTATGCTCATAAATATCTGGTTCACCTGCTACTGAGTGTGTCAAACCAAATAATATTTTTATAATACTTTTTAGCATGGGCGTCGGAACCATTGTATGTGGGTGGGACAAACCCCGCTTGGCTCATTCAGAGTCCATATAAATTAAACTCCATTTCGTGTTTTCAGTACTCGCGCCTGCTGCACTCCAGCTACACAGAAAGAAGAACAAAGCATCGTAGCATTTCTTCCGTTCAGGTGGGTCTGGTTGTGTTCACATAGGCTACTGTCACTAAACAAGCTGTTATTTAACTGAATGTTCACCTGTTACACTAACACTAAGTTAGACCCACTTACATTTTTGTTGCTTCCGACGACCATGCTTTTTAGATTTGAGGCCACTATCCTGGAAAATCCAGTGACTAGTTCTTCAGGAATGTGAGGACACAGTTTTTGGGGTTTCTCCAGTGACACCTGACTGATAAATGACTAGACTCACAAACAGAAAGAGAAATGACTGAGGTTCTTACGGCTCTTCTGTTGTTCTTGAGCTCTCCGTGGCAGCTGAGGATCCGTGAGCTGTCGATCAACAGATCTCTCTGACCACTTTCTAAATACAGCAAGCGCTCTTTATAGTAACGGCACTCAGATTCGCCCGTCTGAGTGTTAATATCAGCCACGATGCTCTGGATCATGTTCATCTATGAAAGACAAAGAGCGGTAAAGAAAAGAGACAGAAATTAGACCACACCCACAGACAGACACGCACGCACGCACGCACACACACAGACACCCACAGACACCCATAGACACACAGACACCCATAGACACACACACACAGACACCCATAGACACACCCACACAGACACAGACACATTCACAGACAGACAGACAGACAGACAGACAGACAGACAGACAGACAGACAGACAGACACACACACACACACACACACACACACACACCCACAAACACCCCCACACAGACAGACAGACACGCACGCACACACACACACACATACACATTTACAGACAGACACACTCACACCCACAGACACACACACACAGACACAGACACACACCGACACATTCACAGACAGACACACACACAGACACACTGATGTACAGAACGAGATGCTATTTTCTTCTCATTTAGAGTTGTAGTGTAAGACTAGTGAAGGTGGCAGAGACTCACAGCTTCGTCGAGGTGCTGGCGGTCGGGGTGGTCGTTCGGCGTGTGTTTGAGCATCTCTCGCAGCAGTAGCGGGTATTTAACCAGGCGACTGCGCGGGATGTCCAGGAAGCTCCAGAGGTCCAGTTTACGACTGAAGGGCGACTCCAGACAGCGCTGAAGGAAGTCGTGCACCCGATGGTCCTGTTTCTTATGGTCCAGCAATGCTTTGGCTGCTACCTGGTTACTGCAGTAACTGTTGTAGGTTTCAAGACAAGGGAGCTACAACCAGAAAGAAAGAGACGTATTCAGTGTCTTGCTTCTGAAGGACCGTTGTCTTGTCTGGCCAACATTCTTCAGTGATATTACAAAGATATCCGTTACCTTAATTTGTCATATGGGTTTGGAATGATGTGCAGAATTGCCATTTTTGGGTGAATTATCAACAACAACAACACTAGATGCTCCATGCACTTGCACTACCTCCCACATCAGGACAAATGTATTCATCACTTTCACTTTAATGCGTTCAGTGTGGACTGCAGGAGTGGACACAGAGTAAGTATCCTGTAGCTGTTGAGTTTTACAGTTGTACACACGTTATCGTGGTGCATTATGGGATATCCGGTGTGATTTCGGACACCACTACAAATGTCTGTCCCCAAAAGTGCACTATGTAAGGGTATAAGAGGCGATTTCAGACACAGCCAATGGTTCAAAATTTGATTCCTTGTACAGAGTTTCTTCGGCACTCATCATTGAGTTTTTGATTCTTAACCACTGTTTGTGACAGACCTCTGGCAGGAGGGATTTCAGGAGATTTCATCAGGTGAGACACCCCCAAACACAACAGAATATATATGACATGACTTTTCAAATCTGAACAGATTTTAAAACACTAAGCATCATACACTTGCCATAAATGGTTGCAGAGAAAAGCTGGGCATGATACACTGAACACCTGAGGATCACACACTACCAGGTTGTTCCAAACACAACAAACTCACACACACAAAAAATGCACCTCATTTCTAGGAGACACATGACAAATGAAAACATCATGTGTTCTAAAATCAGCAGCTCGAATCGTTTCATCTCTGTTCATCAGATACAGCTGAATATACAGCATAGCAGTGAGAGGATCTTACCCAGTCTACTAGAATATGGCCCACGTGATCAGTCGAACCGTCTGGCTTTCTGGCCTCTCGGAGTCGACTCAGCAAATCTACAAGATCAGAGAAACAGCTAAGGTCTTTTGTCACCACTTCAATGTGTGATGCAACCTATGACATTGACAAAGGACTGGTCTATATCACATGTTTTCATTTTTCAATCAAAATATTGTTTTTAGTAATTCAGGGAAGGGAGACAGTCTCATTGTGAGCTCATTTTTGTGAATTGATCTACATTTATGCATTTATCAGATGCTTTAATACAAAATGACATACAATGGAGGAGCATGAGCAGTTAGTCACAGAGCCAACAAAATTTAGGTTGCTTAGTATATAATGCCACATTTCTTAGAAAGCTAGAAGACAAGCTAGAGCAGATGAGAAGTGCAAGTGCATTGTTTTAGGGTTATTGAGTGGCTTCTGGAAAGTTGTGATGTTTCAGTAGTTCGCATAGAGGTCCAGAGAGGAGCAGAGAGGAGGAAGGTTTTGGAAAGCAACTTTATGCCTTGTGGTGAAGAAACAACAGGGCACTGATGGCATGTTTTTATTGTGATCTTCTGTGTTCTCATCTCACATCACAAAATCAACTTAAAAACCAATACTTAAACCAAAAATCAATATTCTCCATTTGCTTAAGCAGTCAAGTGGTATCATGACTGGTGTATGGTACAGTTTCTGTTCTGATTTGATGTGGTTGTTTCCCATTGCGCAGCTTTTCATTTTCACTTTGAACAGAGACTTGTAGCTGGAAATGTGTCAGGTTGCGCCACACAGAGGCTCACCTTCATGCAGTGGAATGAGGGAGTCCAGCGTGAAGAAGATCTGATTGAGCTCATGTTCTGTCATAATAGACAGCTTCAGCATGGGGTCACGATACGCCTGAGATGAGATCACACATCAGACAGAAGACACTCAAACTTACTCAAGCAGAACTATGACTGAGAAACATGATAGTAGGAATTAGAACAGAATGTAGAAACAGACAGCACATAAAATCATATGCTGGAGCAGAGTTTTCCAAACGGGGGTTAGTTGATAAAAAGCTAATAATGATTTAAATAAAGAAATGAAAAATAAATAAAGTAGGTCTGTAGTTGAAATAAAACTGAAAGCGCAATATGACTCAGAGTGCATAAGGCTGGGATCCAGTCATGTTTCAGCACTGTTTACTGTGTTCACTGTTATCAGGTGTTGTCAGTGTCTCGGTTCACAGTAAACACGGACTTAAAGATTCTCCACCAAAATAAATGCTTGAGGGTTTAAAGTTTAATGTGAAAGCAAATAATTTAGGACATATTAGTATAGTAACTTGTAGTGCAAAATAAAAATATTATAATTATCAAATATAATTTTTTTCATTCTGGTGAATTTACGAGTTGGGGTAAAACTAAGGCTGGGCGATATATCGAGTTTGTATTTTATATTTTTAATAGGCGATATGGTATGAGGCGATACCGGTTATATAGATATGCAGTAGTTTGATTCGAGCGCATCTGAATAACAGCAGAGGACACAGAGTGAGCTGCTGTGGGGAAAGTGCATCACACAATTAGTCCTAAAGATGAGACATGCTTTACATGAAGGGCTTCAGAATAACTGGTAAGATATAGTTAACACGTTCAGTTTAAAGCGGCTCAGATGCTCTGACAGACTCACAGAGAGGTTACATGCACCGTTTAATGTGTTTGAGATGTGCTGTTTTCCTCAGTGCAGAACTTACATTTCACAGCTATATTCTCCAACTGTAAATGTTAGAAAGTCACGGAAATATTTCCATTCTGCTGTCAGGAGCCTTCTGCATGCGATTCTCCGCTAAACTTCACAGACTTCAGTGAACGAGCGCCAAACAGACGGAGTGCAATAATTGTGTCATACGTAGAATTTTAAACCTACACGTAAGTGTATTTTATGATAGCAGATAGCAGTAATGGAGTAATCAAAATATAATGCCATTAATCTGTGCTCTTGTGTTTATTTACTTTCATTTTTAGTTTAGTGAATTCAACTTCTGCCTTAAATAACATTATTTTTGTAAAATGTTAGAAAGTGGATAGTATAGCCTACTTTCACTATATTTATCTTCATTGCCTTTAATATAAACATTGTTTCATTGGACAAAATTGGGCAGGATGTAAAAAAACAAAAAAAAACATTATATATATATATATATATATATATATATATATATATATATATATATATATACATACACAGAGAAATCCTACAATGTGATTTTCTGGATTTATTTTTCTCATTTTGTCTCTCATAGTTGAAGTATACCTATGATGAAAATTACAGGCCTCTCTCATCTTTTTAAGTGGGAGAACTTGCACAATTGGTGGCTGACTAAATACTTTTTTCCCCCCACTGTATATATATATATAAATCCAAATAGAAAATTTAGAGAATACAGAGATATATACCGTATATCACATTTCAGCCAAAAAATACAGATATGAGTTTTTGGTAAAACCAGGACTCAAAGGTTTTCATGCTGAATGAAGTGATGGGAAAAGCAGAGTGTACCTTCTTGGCCAGCTTCAAGTCCTCAATCAGGTCCTGTTCTCCCTGAGACAGCTCAAAGATGGCCTGACGAACAGAGGACAGGAAAGAAACAACAAAAGAAAGATTAACTTCAGTAAGATGTATAATCTTTGAAGAGGAAAAAAATCACATAGGATGCATCTTGCAGACATTCTGGTAATACTGTCATGTAACGAATCAGCTCATGAGGAAATAGGAATAATTAACCATAACTAGTTATAATTAATCAGAGTATTTGTTAAATCTAGCTAACAAAATATATATTGTGTGTTTGAGTGGTCCAGACGCTACAGTCAATAGCATTTACTATTGTCAAGTCAAGCTCATACATGCATTACTCTGAGGTCGCTGGTCTAAGTCAAAAGACGATCTATCCCCAAGATCTATCGATTTTCTAACCTATTTGTGGTGCACGGGATAAATTATGCACCAAAGATGAACACAAGATTTTCGATTTCTGCTGAATATTTAATTTTCCATTTCATTTTGGAAGATGTGAGAGTGGGTTTGGACTGTGGTGAAGTCACCTCTTGTCTCTTGATCTCTGTGGAGGACAGCATATGTCCCAGGGCCAGGTCGAATGTCTCGCTCCAGAGCTTGCTGTCGCGGCGTTTGGTGATGGCTGGTGCGATCTGCCGGCCCCACGGCCTGCAGTCGCTGCGGAAGCTGATGGAGCGCTGAGGAAACAGGACAACAGGGAAAACAGTTCAATAAACTCTTCCATTCAAAAAAAGAAGATTTTTCCAACTATCATTTCATATGTCAGGCTTTACAGGGTTAATAAGCTCTTTAATGAACAAAGCAAACTTTTACAAGGTTGTTTCTCAGTCAGTTCTCAAAAGCATGAAATCAGTATTAATGTTTAAGGTCTTATAATCATGCAGTAAAGACAGCTTAATAATAATATGTTTCTGGTGTTTTAATGTTCTATTTCTGGTTGTTTTGTATATTGACTTAAATTATTTGAACACAACTTATAAGCATTACAGCACCAGAGCAGACTGGATGAAATTCTAGCACATCTATAAGAAGTTAATACAGGTTAATGGAGCAGATCCTGCGGTCGGGCCTGTACCTGCAGCGTCTGTCCGATGCGCTTGAGCGGAGCAGCTTTGACTGGAGGGATGAGACTCGCCAGAGATGTCACTCGAGACAGAGGCTTCACACGCTTGGTGCTGGGCTCCTGAAGATCACAAACACACACTAGGATGAACACCTCACACCCACAGCTAGTGAAGGTTACACCACTCATGTGAGAGAGGCTTCAGTCTGTCTGGGTGACTCTCACCAAACCGCCCTCTAGCATAACGTGAGGCATACTTCAATAAGACTTATTAAAACGTTTCTGGAAATCTTTGTATTGCCAGTCATAGATGTCTCTGAGTCAATAGTTGCTTCTAGCTATGGAAACTCTTAAACAAGAGTTAAACACAGATTCCATGTCACAATAATTTACTATCCATCTTGAGTGGTCCAATGGATGTTGCATTGTAAAATTCTTTTACAATATAATTCTGTCAAAGAACAATTTCAGCTTCCTATCTAGTCCCTCAACATATATACTCATGTTCATGTACCTTGTAATTAGTGGTCGACCGATATATCGCCCGATATTTTACATTTTTCATATATCGGCATCAGCCGATAAGTTTTTCTGTTTGGCCGATGCATTTGACTTTTATTTTGACGGCGTAGAGAACGGCAGTGCCTGAACACAGAGTGCTCACATTCTCCCTCTTGTTCGCTGTTGTCATTCAGTTCTGTCTAATACGGATAGAAGTCTGTCTAATAATCAGATAGAACGGTTAAACAAAGGAATTAAAATGTATACAAAGTATTATATTATTAGTAATAGAAAGGCAAACATTATAATACTTTCTCGTTTGCCATAAGCATTCAGAAAATACACATTTATATCATTTAAAGAAATTTGAATGACTAATGAACATTTAATTTCACAAAGCTTGCAGACTTAGTCGAATCCAGCTGTGAGATCTTGTGAAGTGTGCATTTGTATCCTGCATGATCGCGTGTTCTCTGTGTGACGGATGTGGACAGGAGGATAGTTCGGCTTCATTGGAGACGCACGATCGACAAACTTTAAACTCGTGATTTCAAATTATGCTGCGCTTTATGCATTTGCCCACGGTCATATTCATGTCATTTCCACTGTGTGCTGTATGTAACATGAGTGTTACCTTGGCTTTATTTGAAAATATATGATTCCCAATGCACACAAACTTCCCAGAATACTGAGTGCTCTTTTGGTTACAGTTTACTTCCTTTTTAATTATATTTTAATTAAATATTTATTTATTTGTGAAAAATACTTTGCCATCTAAAGTATGTGTTTATTTTACACATTTATTTTTAAATCCATTTTCAAATTATTTCAAATTTCTTGAATATTAATACAATTATATCGGCTTTATATCGGCCACCCTGCTTTCCAAGATATCGGCATCGGCTGTCAAAAAACCCATATCGGTCGACCACTACTTGTAATGTGCTCTAGCTATGACCCTGCTGAGCTGACTTATTCCATAAACATCTATATAACCAAAATTTTTTGTCGGCCGTGATGCAAGCTGGTGGTTTTGCAAAACCATTACATAGGTAGGTAATCGCTTGTAAAACAAGGACAATTAAAAATGGTCAAGCAACCTACTTTACAATATTTGAATGGAATGACCCCTATAACAAATATTTTCCATGTGATTCTTGCTGTGCATAAATGTACTGTTATTTGGAAATGTCTGAATAAAAATGTCTCAAAATTTGTAGCTTTAGTCCAGTGTGCATTACTTACAACACTAACAAGACAACTAGACAATTATCAAGATTCAGGACTGAAATGAGGCAGCACATGCAAAACACGAAGACAAGCACACTGTTATCATATCAAAGCTTTCAATGTCTGTTCATTAACACAATCAGCAGTGAGCATTATCATATCTATGTAGGACAGTCATACTGGAGTCTGGAGAACACACACAGACACACACTCTCACACACTCAGAAATTCACACACACACACACACACACTCTCTCTCTTTCTCTCTCTCTCTCACACACACGCCATAGTAATCTATTGCTTGACATAAATTGGAGCCGTTCAGGTTGTAGTTCTAAAACGAATACATACAAACAGTATACAAGACATTTTTAAGCCACAGATTCCCTCTGGAATTCCTTATGGGTTGTTAGTGTTGCAGTTTTTGATTTAGGAGTTAAATAGGTCTGTGGTTAACATTACTTAAAGAGGCTTTGATGTTTTGTTTTACAACACAAACTACACTTTTCACAACCGTACTAGACACTTATTGGTAGCTGAATGCATATTTCACAAGCCAAAATATTTCATAAATAAATGAGAAACTTGAGAATGAAGGGTGTTCCATGTGCAAAAAAAGAAAACATAAAATGTATGTATTATGATACTGTCAGGTATCAAAGAAAGTTTCAGTCAGATCTATCAACATTCTGAAGACATTTTTGTCCCTAAACTATAATTAACTAAACCCATATAGACACTTACATGTTTCATGTTAGGTATTATAAACTGATATGTGGAAAAAAAGCAGCCTGAATGTACTGTATAATACACTGTACATAAATAAAAGAATTGCAGTGGCTTTGAGTTGGAAATGTGGACGAGCTCTTCGGACTGTCTGAGGTTTGCTAATATGATTCTGCCTTATTTGACCAGATGCATAATTCTAGATATGGCTACTGGCCAAACGCTCTGTACCAGTGCATCCCTGCACTATAATGTGATTGCTCAATATTTGCTTATGTAGGTCTGAATGTGCCTCCCAGACATGCAGCCTGATTTGTACAGGATCAATGCATCATGGTTCACTGAGGGATTACGCTGGTGCATAAAAATGCTCCGAACTACAACCGGATCCTTTGAGAATGAATGCTCAGAAAAAGACTGGAAAATAAAATTGGGATTAATAAAAAACATGAAAAGATAGATTTTTTAACACTAACATAAGGCCCTGTGAAATTTGTTTTATTTTGTATTATTAAAAAATTATTTTTTATTTTCTCCCAAATTATGTATTCCGTTGCAAAAAGCATGTCTAAACTGAATTCATAGAATTTTACCAATTTATTAATTTATAAAAATTTGAACAATAGTAGGTCCCCCTCCAGATTAAATCTGTTTTATCATAAATTAGTGTTGTCAAAAGTACTGATGTCAGTACTGAAATCTTAAACATGTGACGATGCCAGCATTTCCCGTCAGCATTTTGAGCGCTGTTGAGCAGATTCTTACAGCTCTGATTGGCCAGTGTGTTCACGCGCTCAACAGATACTGTATGTCTGTGATTGGCTACAATGACCATCGCTTCACGCTCTTCACCGAGTGCTTACATTTTGATTTGATTCATTATTGTACAGCTCTATTTTTGATTTATTAAAACGTACCTAATTCCATGACAGTCTACTCTGCACCTATATGATAAGTAGTATCTATGCAGTAACAGGAATCCTGTTGTTCACATTACTGTAGTATGCAGTGTTGACATCTGACTCATAGCATGTGCTTTGAGTCTCCTATCTCACACCTCCAAACCCATTTTCTGTTTAACTAATGGGTTACAGAACGAAAGCAAACCCACAGGATTCCCAAAATAGAGCTTACACAACACACAACACCAAGCCACCCTGTAGTAGAGTGGTTAACCTACAGTATGTGTCACCAAACAGAAACCCCTGCCATTCACACAAGCCAAACTAACATGACCTGAAAAACTCACGATCACATCAAAGGTTCCTATAATTATTTACTATAGGCCAATACTACACGAGGTATGCTTAACTACTCATTAATTCAATCAAAACTATACTCAGAACTATACTGGAAGCTTTTTTTTGGTATTAAATGAAACATATGTTATTATTTCTCTTGCTTCATTCACTTCGTTCATTGCATTCTGGGATTGATTTCTTAGTCTGTCTTAAGGCGCAGACACATTTAACGTTCTTCTGCAAATTGCCAAATTCAGGCATTTCAATAGGAATCTGCACAATTGGGAATTTAGTGTGAGGTTTTACTACACAGATTTCACACTGGGTTCAAGGCAAATTTATCATGTTGACCAACAGAAACTGTTTGCATTGAAAATAACTTCTGTGTTAGCTGTGGTTCATACATTATACACTACTGTGAATTGACCTTTTTTCCCATTAAATTTCGCTAACTTGACTGCACCTTCAGAAGCTGGCCAAATGAGGTAGCGTCTCTTAGAAACTGCATGCCTTGCCTTCCTATTAGAACAGCTTTCATGTCTCCGTGCAATGCTCTCTAGGATGAAACAAAGCTAATGTATTAAAGGGATAGTTCACCCAAAATTTTAATTGGATGTTTATCTGCTTACCTCCAGGGCATCCAAGATGTAGCTGGCTTTGTTTCTTCAGTAGAACACAAATGAAGATTTTTAACTCAAACCGTTACAGTCTGTCAGTCATATAATTGAAGTGAATGGGAAATGAGTCTTGTTCTTCTTCTTGCTTTACGGCAGATCGCAGACTTATAAGTGCATTACCAACAGTGTTGCCAACTTTTTTCAATGGAAAGTAGCTAAACCCCGCCTGAAAAGTCGCTAAATGTCGTTAGATGATGTCATACACTAATTGGCATATTCATGACATCAGTGCGTCATATTGTCTTGCCTCCCTGTGCTTACATACTGCATTTTAATGCAGCCGAATTCTCAATAAAGCAGTTTTTATTAATATATTTTACTGTTTCTGTTGTCAGACAACGGAATGAATATTACAGTGACTGAAATGCAGTCCATTAAGACTACATAGCCAGTTCTCAAAGATTAATCTGCACTAAAATTCTAATCACGACATTGTCTAATGAAATCAACTACACATACGATTAAGACAATGGCTGTGCTGTGATTTCGGCTATACTTGCATGTAAAATAGAGTTAGAGAATATATTTTTTTAACTGAAAGTGCTGCTCCTCTCTGCGCTCGCTGAACAGAGCAGACGCAGAGAAAGAGGTGTGTGCGCTGGGAAAGCAAGACCTCATGGCTCATGCAGCAGTACCGGAGAGTCTCAGAGACTAAATAAGGTTTGAACAAGAAAGTAGCTAGATTTGGCACTAGTTGCTTTTTTGGAAAAAAGTCACTAAGGGGGTCTGAAAAGGCGCTAAATCT